GAAACAGAACTACCGCTATCCACTGTTCTACAACTTAGCAGACTTTTCAGAATCTCAGAGCCGTTTCTGACAAACTAGTCTCACGCAGTAATTTTTCACTTCTAGTGAAAGCTGGTGGAACATTACCCCAATTTATAGAGGTGTTAGCAAAAACAATCAACGAAACAACGCAGTAAATGTCGTCACTTGTTTTCTAGAAGAGGTCAGGCGAGGAGAAGAAGTGAAATCATCAAATTTTAAGCGCATATTCTTTCCTAAAACTGGACTGAAGTGCAAGTGGCAATATTTTAAACTCAACGCAAAAGGATGAAAGATGCAAAAGAAATTAAATGAATGCTACTCAGTCCTCAAGAAATGTGAATTTCAGACTTATTTTTACCTGCAAACAAACATTCTTGCGTTCACGAGGGAAGCCATGGTGGAAATCGACCTTCAAGACATGACAAACCCGAAAGCTGCCAGTCACGTAACCTTATTTTATTTAAAAGTGGCCTTTTCTCAGATGTGATATATTATAACTTTGAGTTTACCCATGGCAAAAAGGAACGCTTTCGTATTTATTGCGTATGAAAATTAATTCACATATTTTTCTTGGGTAAATATGTAATTAACAACACGCTAGGTGGCGCGTAAAGTCTCGCGCACTTTAAACCAATCGGAGTGCAGCATAGCTTCCACAAGTCTTGTGTTTACCTGTCGGCCCAGAAAGAGGGAAATCATTAAATATACAAAAGGCCTTTTAACGATGACTTATGCAACGTTAGAGAAGTTATAATGAAGGTGAGTATTTGTAAGGATCGTGTTATTTGTTTAAGTTAAGTTTATCTCTCTTTGCTATGTTAGAGAGACCTTCGGGGATACAACTCGCGAACTCTGGCTCTGGCTGTCAAAATATGGGTCAGTTAGGCCGGTCAGTTACCGCTGGCCTTAGGTTGCCCTCCGGACGCTACTGGTCACTACCTACTGTGTGATGTAGCTCAGTCATTAACTGCATACTAGAAGATTTTTACACTCTCTTTTCACACACACACACACACACACACACACACACACACACACACACACACACACACTGAAGTGATTTGCAAAATCACACACCATGTCATAGGTGAATCATACTACAGTATATAGATGCCATGTATGTACTTCATATGCATAAACAGTAGGTTTTACACACTTAGCAGAATTTAGAGAAATATATAGAAAAGATTATCTTACTTATAAGTTACTACTTGAGGTGTACATGCAGTTGTAGAATAGTAGTTTATTGGTTGTTTACATATAGAATAAAGAGCATATTTTGTAACTTATTTGCTCTGAAGAAACAACTGTGAGACTGATGTTGAATCATTTACAAAAATAGGGCAATTATTGTAATTATTTATGTTATCAAAATTTCACATTGTTGTTTTTTTTTATCATTGGCAGCTTAATTATACTTAGATATGTTATTCTCATTCTGCCAGGCAAGAGGTAATGCTTTGTAAAATGCATTTAGTCTTAAAGAATTGAAGGTTGACAGATGATTTATTAAGGAAATTGCGCTGTATAATGTTTTTAAGGTTAAACAGTGTCTTATCGTATATTTTGAAGTAATGGAGAGAAGATGCATAATGCTTTGCACAAAAAAACTCATTAAACACATTTTATCCTGCTCAAGCAACACAGGGTGACTCTGGCTCTCACCGCCAACGCCAACCAATTATTGAACCTTTCATATAACAACTATAGATATATTTTAAAAACATGTTAATGGCATTGGTGAGAATAGGGAAACCTGTCCATCTTTTAATAAACTCTTAACTCTGCTCTACCCGGATGTGGTTACTTCAACCACACTCATAACCAATATGCCCAATTATTCAATTCATCCAATGCATTATCCTGTTAGCCTTTTGATTACCAAACCCATATTGACGGTATCTTATCAAACTATAAAACCTGAACTTGTTTGCTTACTGACAGTGTTATGTGTCATAGCAACAGTCTGTTAAAATCTATTTATCTAAGTTTGATAAAGTTTGTTTTTTTTTTTTTTTTTTTTTAAATATCTGGGACAGCAAATGAGAAATGATAACAACATGATTAGGAAATTTGATTTATGGCCCAGATAGCTTATGAGGTTTATGTAATTTTTTTTTTCATTTTTCATTGCTGAAAGCTATTTATTATTGTGTATCCAACTGCTCTCTGACGACATAAGTATGCATTAGTCAACTAAATTATACTGAGGCAGTAAAATAGTCCAAAATCTGATAAAATTTTTGATAAGGCAAAATACACAAACCATTTAAGCAACATAGCAATCTGTTCAACCAGCTGATTTACTAGTAATTGTTTTAATCTAGATGCTATATACTGATTTATTTACAATTTTTGACCGAGAATTTGTACGATTTTAATTCTGTTTTTAATTTTTTTTCTTTCTTTATTTAATTTTATAACAGCTGTTCAAATTATAATGGAATCACTTTTTATATTATGTATTATTGAGAGCTCTGTTAATAATAATTTTTTTAAATGCAAGTCAAACACACAAGAAGCTCTACTTTGTAACAGAAGACGATTGATTGGCAGAGTAATTATGAGAAAAAAGTTTGCAGTAACAGTACACAAATTGTAGTACACCACTGATTTGTATAAATTACTGCCATTCTCAGAGCAATATAGGCATTTGTGGTTTTTTAATGGTCAAATAGAAAAAAGAAAAAAAACTCAAAATGACCTCATTGATATTGCTCATAGTCATGTGAGGGTGTCACACATCTCGGTCAAGATCTTTGCTCCTTCACTGACCCGTGGTCACCAAAAATAAGCCATGTGTGGAGGAGTCAACATGAGCACCCCCAGGGTAGGCAACTTAATGGTGAAAGTTTATTGGCTATTATTTGACTGTAAAACTCATGACAAGTACAGTAATTACTCGGATCTTTTTAAGGTGGAAAAATTTTACTTTTTGAAGTTGTTATTTCTTAAAGTAAGAACTTTCCCTGTGAGCACTTGATAAAAAAGTAGGCTTCTCCATAGTCATTTTCTATGCAGTAAAAGCACAACAATTATTACACTGAATTATAATTACCTCAAATTTTAAATTAACAGTCGAAAATCAAACTTTTTAACCTTGTTTAAAGTGCTTGTTTTGAGAGGAACTTTTCTGTAAGTTGACCCTTCTCACGTCTCTCTCTCTCTCATATTATCACATAATGTTGGCTATAAAAGTTTATATTTCAAATCGACAGGACAGACTGAAAACTTCTTAGCTCATTGGCCATTAGGTCTTCGAGACCTCTGGAGAACCATTTAGTTTCATTCAAAAAGAATCTTTGCAATTAAGGATGTGCTTTGGAAGTCTTGACGTGAGACTTATACAAATTCAGACACTAACAAGCTAAGTTAATGAAATGCCATCCTCTTTCCATTTATCACCTGTGAAAACTGTCATTGCAGAACTTTTCAAATTTTAGGAAAACTTGTTTTGACAGTACAAAGTATTGAAGGATTTTTTTATTTTTACAGCAACTAACCAACAACAAAAAGCCCTTAGGTAATGAAACCTTGGTATATATTTATCGCATTTTGTCTACGAGAAAAAAAAACATTTCCATAGTCTTATAAGATCCGCGTCAGTAATGTCGCATAATAGCTGCATAGGTCCTGTTGCTAGGCAACCTGCCAAGGTGCAATAACAGACCAGAGAAAAATGCACAATACCTTCAAAAGCTTCAGTGACCCAAGCAGGTAACGGAGTCACTTTTCTGAATAGGGCGTTTATTTCTGGAGCCAGCGTTTCTCTATAGACATTGATGCAAGTTTTTATGGGTATATGGAGGTCTTTCATTGGGTTGCACAAGTGCCATTTCAGATGCTGTTTATTGCAAACTGCTGTTTGAGGTTTTAGTCTTTCATTAGATGCCCTTGTGAAAAATATATGAGGATTTTACTCCTTTTAGAATAAATTAGTAGATGTTTTAAAAACAAATATTTTACCCCTTTTTAAGTGATGAATTATAATGCAATTTAAAACTTCTATGCACTTTTTAGTTTAATTAAAACATTTAAGATAAAGAAAACAAAATGCACTTAAAATTGGATTCTTTACATGATGCAGATTTTGTAGCTTATGTTTTATCATTTTGTATTGATGGTCCACTTTATGTCCAAATTAGCCCTTGCTAAGTGAACCAACATTGGGCCCACTTTCATGATGTGACAGGGACAAGCATATTTACAAATAATGCCGTAAGACCTAAGACCGATTAGAGCGTGTTTCCACGGCAACAGTGAAATGTATAACCAGAAGATGACCAGTGATAAGGAAAGGTAGGACAATCAGGTGATTTCCCGAGGGGGTAAAACTAAATGATTAATGAACAAAGTTCTCAGAGTGTTATTAATCTCGTATATGCCTCAGTTCAGTTTAAAACAAAGATCAATGGAGGGGGAGGGGGGGGCTGTTCTAATACAATGATTTATGGCATCTGTAGAGATTTACTTTTATTAGTTAAACTGGCTTTAAAAATTTCATAACATTTTTTTTCTTTACTTATAAAAAAATCATTGTTCCTTGTGAACCTGATAATTGAAGATTCAGTGGATTAATCATCTTAAGTGACCATTATTCAAGGGACAAATGTCCAGTTTTGCCAAGTCTGGATAGGTCACATGATTTAACCTTACTGTAGAGATGTTGTCAATTTTAGCTTTTATCACCATTGTCCATTTGATAATAACTGATATTACATAGCTGTGACCATGGAAATTTGTACTATTATAAATCAGGCTGTGACTTTATTCCTGATCTCTTCCAAATGTCAGTAAAAGTAGAGGAAGGACTCTAAATGTTATTAAATTTGTTCACATAGTGATAGACAAAAATACTGATTTGGGTTTGTGGATTCTTGGTGTCCTAAAAAGACAGTAGACTAAAAAACTTTTGGGGAAACACTGATAACTGTGACCATGCAGGTTTACTGTACATTTAGTGTTCTTTCAACCTATGTCAGTGTGAGGTAGGAGTTTCTTTTGTTTTTGTAAGTTTTCTCTTTTAAATTGAAGGCTACGGAAGTTGTTATTTCATCGTTATTTTGCAAAACTACCGATGTGCTATTATTATTATTATTATTATTATTATTATTATTATTATTATTATTATTATTATTCACAGAGTTCATAATAACTTGGAAGGTTATGTTGATCACATGTGCAATCAGTCTGAATGTTCAGAAAGAGACTTTTTTGGGTAAATAGAAATGACGTGGTCATGATTGTCATGTCATTTCATAGTAAATGTTTCCTTATTGTTCACCAGATGTTGAGATAGGTGCAATGTCAGTGCTTCTCATTGGTGCTACATTTGGCGGATACACCTCTCTGTTTAACACGAAGGGTACAGTATTGCACTTAATCATTGGTCAATTTGTACAAGGAAGGTCACTTAACATGAAGGTCAGTCAAAAAGATAAGCTAATCTGTAGTTACATAACAGATATACTTTGCCCAGTATCTTTATACTGCGATATGATGTTGTTGTGAAGTTAAAAGTGGAAACCTAGATGTAAGATTCTGTAGCTCCTAACCCATGCTAAAATTTGTATGAGAGCCCTGAAGTCTGTGGCGAACCAAAATTTATTGATCGGTATAAATGTAGTTTCAGGGTTCTAGGGTTCTACCTATCACAAACTTGGTTTTTCCCTTTCCCTGATAACTTTAGAAGTCCCATTTTATGAGACAGTTTTCTTACTTGAAGTGGACTGCCAGTTTTAAGGTCATCAAGCCATTTC